GTTTTGTTTAAGGCTCAAAGTCTTAATTAGGTAAACATGTTTTATTTATTAGTAGAAGGGACAAATGTACTTGGAAATATTTCCTCCACTGGTTCCTTCATTCATTTAAAGTCATTTTCTGAGTAACTTCTGTGTTGCCAGCATCATATGAAAGTATTGCAGAATGATTAAGAACCAGACTTAGGCTTTACCCACTGGGTAGCTACTGAGTCTGGGGCAATTTAAATGGTTTAGGATAAATGTGACCATCAGATGTATGTATATTAATGTTTAATACGGGACTTGACAGTAAAAAAAAGTCAGTTTTATTATTATTATAGGTATGTTAAATATTTGAGTGGCTTTTAGTTTCCTCTCTCTCTCTCTCTCTCTCTCTCTCTCTCTCTCTCCTTCTCAAGCCATATCTCCTGTCCAGATTTTGGCTGATTATTTTGGAGATAGTATCATGAAGACTTCTTTGCCTCATCTGTTTTTAAGCCATAACTTGCCAGATCTCAGCCTCCTGAGTAGCTGGGATTACAGGTATGAGCCACTTATGCCCCATATTTGTCTCTGTCTCTGATTCAGTCAAACTGTGTCTCTCTGTCTCTGTCTCTCTGTTTCTGTCTCTTTCTCTCCCTTCCCTGACCCTTTCTCTTCTGCCAGTCCTCGAGCTTGAACTCAGGGTCTGGACACAGTTCCTGAGCTCCTTTTGCTCAAGGGCAGTGCTCTACCACTTGAGCCACAGTGCCATTTCCCACTTTTTCGGTGATTAATTGGAGATAAGAGTCTCACGGCCCAGGGCCATGCACTGGTGGCTCACTCCTGTAATCCTAGCTACTCAGGAGGCTGAGAATTGAGGATCTCGGTTCAAAGCCAGCCCAGGCAGGAAAGTCCGTGGGACTCTTATCTCCAATAAACCAGTAGAAAACTGAAAGTGGAGCTGTGGCTCAAGTGGTAGAGCACTCACCTTGAGCTGAAGAGCACAAGGACAGTGCCCAAGCCCAGAGTTCAAGCCCCACGACTGACAAAAAAAAGAGTCTCATGGCCGGGCTGAGAAGGTGGCTCAGTGGTAGAGTGCTTGCCTTGCATGCATGAGGCCCTGGGTTTGATTCCTCAGCACCACATAAGCAGAAAAAGTCAGAAGTGGTGCTGTGGCTCAAGTGGTAGAGCTCTAGCCTTGAGGTGAAGAGCTGTGGGACAGTGCCCAGGCCCAGAGTTCAGGCCCTACGACCAACAACAACAACAAAGAGTCTCACGGCCTTTCCTGCTCTGGCTGGCTTCAAACTGCAATCCTCATATCTTGGCTAGGATTACAGGCATGAGTTACTAGCACCTGGCTCTCTCTTTCTCTTTCTATCCCAGGAACTGAACCCCGAGCCTAGACAAGTGCTCTATAACTCATACATGACTTTTATCAAGTCATTATAATTGCCCCAATTCTCTCATAATTTCTCAGCATGCTGTGAAGTGCTATGCACTGGGCACACCACCAGGCCTCAGAGATCTTTGTTTCAAATCTTAGCTCCCATGTAAATTAATTTTCTGAATGACTATGAGCAACCCCTTGGCCTGGAATAATTCTTCTTTTTATTGGCTTATATCACTTATGGGGGAGGTGGACTTCATTGTTACATCTCCACACGCTTGCACTATATTTATTCCAATCCAATCAATCCCCTCTGTCACACTCCCTGCATCCTTCCCTCTATTGATTCCTTCTTATAGGAAATAAGGGAGCTGGGCCAAATGAGCCAATTTTCTACTTGGGAGCTTTAAAATTCAGTTATTTAATAAGTTTTTTCAGAAGCATTAAGTTTACAGGTCCTACTTTGATAAAAATAAAAAAATAAATTAAGTTTTGGGCTTGGCAATGTGGCTTAGCAGTAGAGTTCTTGCCTAGCATGCATGAAGCCCTGGGTTCCAGTCCTCAGTACCACATACACAGAAAAAGCCGGAAGTGGCGTTGTGGCTCAAGTGGTAGTCTTGATCAAAAAAGAAGCTCAGGGGCTGGGAAGATGGCTCAATGGTAGAGCGCTTGCCTTGCATACATGAAGCCCTGGGTTCTATTCCTCAGCACCACATAAGCAGAAAAAAAAAAAAAAAGCCTGAAGTGGCGCTGTGGCTCAAGTGGTAAAGTGCTAGCCGAAGAGTTGAGGGACAGAGTTCAGGCCCCATGACCGGACCCCCCCCCCAAAAAAAAATGAAGCTCAGACAGTGCCCAGGCCCTGAGTTTGAGCCCCAGGACTGGCAAAAAAAAAAAAAAAGTTTAAATCACTGTTTAAGAAACAGCGATTTCTTGGCACAGGTAAGTGTCAGCAGGCCTCCCCCTGATGTCTAGGGATTTTTGCTCTAGGTCCAAAGCATGGTAGTTTCTCAGTCAATCAGGATCCCTATTTATCCACCAACTGAGTCTTTTGGTTTGGCCTCATGATACGTGTAGTGTGTATCATTGGAAATTTCATATAAGGAAATTTCATTTCTTAACAAAGGGTGTCTTTGCATTCACATAGATTACATCTCTCCTGACAGCATTGCACCATGAACTGAGGTAATTCACAATGAAGGGAGTTCTTGGCAATTAAACTCCCCAGTTAGATTATGAAGGCCAGTGGTCTGATTTATGGGCTGCTAAGGTTCAAGCTTAATTAGGTGTTATAGCATTCCCCTAGCTTTAGCTAGAGTTGAACTCAGAACACTTAGCCAGCAGCAGCCATTCAATACTTTGCTTCCTGCTTGTGGTAGTCAGAGGCAAGTCTATTTTTGCTGAAGACTTTTGTGCTTAGCATCTTTAGACATCAGACAAACTATTGCTGGTCTCGTTGACTCAGATAAAGATTTTCTTCCTCTAGTGACTTAAGAAAGGAGTTCATTAGGTTGAATACGATTCATTAGACTCGCTACTGACTTTACTTGCTAAGGTACTAAGGGAGGTTTGAGGGAAAACATACATAGTGTCCTGGCTCCGGCTCCCCCTCCGCCCCCCTCCCCAATCCTGGGGCTTGAACTCAGGCCCAGGGCACTGTCTCTGAGCCTCTCTGTTCTCAAGGCTAGCGCTCTATCACTTTAGCCACAGCGCCATTTCCAGCCTTTTCTGTTTATGTGGTACTGAGGAATGGAAGCCAGGGCTTCATGTGTGCTAGGCAAGCACTGTACAATAAGCCACATTCCCAGCCTATCCTGGCTGTTTAAACTGTCTGTCACTGACCAGCCATGCCCTTGTACTAGGCTCTGACCTATTCTTAGCCTTAACAATCTGTACATTCTTCACCTCCATCTGGTCTCACAAGGCACAATACTACACGGACATTCTTTCAGCCTCCAGTTTTCCTAGCTGAGTAAGTTTGCACTGGACAGGATGTATCTGACTAGTATTCATAACAAAAACTAATCAAGGCTGTGATTTCAATCATGGTCACAAGAGGAATAACTGTTTCATCTGAAGCAGTCTATAGCTAGCTCTATCAAATGTATCAGGTCAATTTTTTTTTTTTTTGCTGCAAAAACAGCAAAATAAAAATGTTAATTAAAACCCACTTAGGGATGGAGTTCTGGTTCAAGTGGTAGACTACCTGCCTAGCAAGTACAAAACACAGTGGCTCAAGCCTATAATCCTAGCGACTTGGAAGACAGAGATCTGGAGAATTTTTGAGGCCAGGCTGGGCAAAGAGGACTGTAGACTACAAGTCCATAAATGGCTGGGTGTGGTGGTGTGCCTTTCACTTCAGCTACACTGGGAGGCACAATCAGGAAGATCACAATCTAGGCTTCCCAGGACAGGAAGTGAGACCCTATCTGCAAAATAACCAGCACACACAGAGCCACAGGCATGGCTCAGAGGGTAGCGCAGTTGCCTGGCTAGTGCCTGCCTAACAGGTTCAAGGCCCTGTACACAAACCTTGTGATAGCTCAGAACCAACTCTATTTAAAACAACAACAATAACCTCACTGAATTCTAAGTTTTACTTTTTTTTCTCTTCTTTTTCTGGACACACAGCCTGGCTATGAGACCAGGCTGGCCTCAAACTGTCATTCCTTGTTTTTCAGCCTCCCCTGAACAGTGGAATTAAAGGTGTATGCTACCATGTCAGGTGAGGACTTTAGCTTTATGCAGTGATTTTAAAAAGAAAAGAGGGGGGAAAAACACATTTCAGTAAAGCTTTGGTCATCCTCAGATTATCTTTGAGGTGTCTGTTGTGATTCTGTGATATTCTGTATGTATTGTTACTATACCATTGTATTAATTGTATCCCACTGTTGCTAGAACCTATGGTTCCCTCTACCTTCCAATCCTCCCACCTCCTTATTTCTGTTTGTCTCCTTCTGCGTCTTCTTGTTTAGCCTGGCATCACTCCCAGCCCCTTAGTCTGGAAGGAAGGGGAAAAAAAATCCTTGTTTTCTCACCCACCTGGTGATGGAGTGTAGCGTGTGTGTGTGTGTGTGTGTGTGTGTGTGTGTATGTGTGTGGTGTGTGCAAGCACACACCACATGCACATGCTTGCATGGCCTCCTGCGTCAGCGTGTGTGTGCATGTGTGTGTGCATGCACGCTGCGCGCACTGCAAGCTTGGTGTGTGTGATTGCAAACACATGCACACGCTGGCATCACTCCGTATGTGTCAGAGAGTGTGTGTTTGCGTGCGTGCGTGCACGCACATGCTGACCCGCCCGGCCCGCACTCCTGCTGTGCGTGGGCACGCGCGTACCGAGCACGCTCCCGCCCGCGCCGGCGCCCGCGGGCTCTCCCGCAGGCACGCACGCACGCGCCTGCGCGCGCACACGCCGCGGGCCGGGGCAAGCCCGCTCCCGGCGCGCGCCCGGCCGTTTCTATGGGAACCACTCGGGCGCCGGGTCCGGCCGCCAGAGGCCCCGCGCGAGCATGCCCAGTGCAAGCCGCTGCTCCGGCTCGGGTCTGGGTTTCCAGTAAGTGGCGTGCGGGACTCCGCCGAGACTCCCCCATGCGCTGAGCCGAGAGCCTTTGTGTGCTGAGGGGAGGCGGGGTGGGTGGGGGGGCGCCCGGCGGACACCCCCGCCCGGGGACCCCGGCGGGAACGATGCTCGCCTGCCTGGCCCGCGGGAGCCTCCTGGACGTCCTGCAGGAGGGCTTCAACGAGGTAACCGTCCCGCCCTCCCCTCCCGGGCCCCCACTCCGCACCCCCCTCCGCCGAAGGGCTGGAGAGGAGTCCCCCCCCATCACCCTCGTCTCGGGGACCCCCGGGGCGAGCCGTCTGCGGGAGGGCCCCCCCCCAGGCGGCGGTGGGCGTGGTGCAGGCTGCGGGAGCGCGGGGACGTCCGCGGGCCGCCGGCCTCCCGCAGAGCTGGCGGGGGACCCCCCCCCCCCCAAGACCAGGCAGACGTGAGCGCTTCACGGGCTGAGCCGAGAGCCAGGGTGGCGGGGCCCGGGGTGGGCGGAAAAGTGTAGAGAGGGGGGGCGGACCGCCACGGTGCCCGGGACGCGCGCCCTCCCCGCGCCAGCCTCATCTCCCGGCCCGCCCCAGAGCTGCGCAGAGAGAGGGGCCCCCGCGCCGGGGGCCCAGCTCGGGAAGCCAGCGTTCTGCTCCCCGGGAGCCAGCACAGCGGCCTCGGGTCTGCCCGGTGGGATGGGCGAGGGCCGGAGCCTCTGTGTCATTTGCTTCCCCCCGCCCCCCCCCCCCCCTGCCATTTGCTCTTTTTCCTCCTGTTTCTGCATCTCACCGGAGCATCCCGGGCGTCGTGACCCCTTCCTTTCCCCGATCTCCTGTTCTTTCCACCGATCTTAAATGGAAGTTGTTTATTTCTGTGGTTGTGGCTGCTGCTGGGCTCGATATTGAACCTAGGGCTTTGGGGGTGCTAGGGAAGTTTCTACCGCTGAGCTGACTGCACCCCTCAACCCTTAAGATTCTTGAAGTTTAAAAGCAACAACGAAACAGCTTTTAGGCAAATAACCTAGGAATGCATTCCCTTTTTGTTTGGGTAGTGGGGTTGAAACCCAGAGCCCGACCCATGCCTAGCACGTGTTGCATTACTGCGCGACACCCCCAGCTTAATTCTCGTCTGCAGTCTGAACGTGACAGGCAAGATGGAAGCACCTTTGTCCTTACACTCCTCTCCCCCTTTTCTCCAGAGGAAGTCAGTCTTGTGAATGTGTGTGTACGATTTTCCACAGCTGCAGGACAGATTCTTTCCCTGGATTTCTGGTTCTAATTAGGAAGTCTTGCAGTTTCTGACCTGCCTTAGAGCCCTCTCCCCCAGACCTGGCCCCCTGTTCCCCAGCCTTGTTCCTGAAGGAGAGAGGAAAAACTGCAGAAATGCTGTCCCAGCCTCAGCAACTGTGCTGGAATTTTCCTTTGGCAGAGGGGTGTCACAATTCATTGAAGGGCAGAGCTTGCATCCCGCCTGCACTGCAGGGCTCCTCAGCTTTGCACCATTCCTGTCTGAACACATGTAAAGCATTGCTAACAAAGAGGGTGACAGGCAGAGAGTTGAGGTACAGAAAAGCCAGGAAGGTTTTCCATTCTCCCTCTCTGCCTTTGCGTTGCCCGCCTAAGGCTGACCTGTCCACCGGTCTGTGGCAGAAGCTCATTGGGTCGTCCTGCGGCCTCCTCCCTTTTAATGATCCTCCCAGGCATCAGGACTCAGTGTCTGATTAGGAGGAGAAAACCAGCACAGCGCTAGCCCTAGTCATTGTTTCTGCTCATTTTTACTTCTAAATCTTCCAGTGGAAGGGCCACATGAGCTAGGAGGGCTGGCTATGTTTTTCATCCCTTGGTACTTCTGTAAATACCCACTAACCTCCAAATCTTGGAAAGCAAGGGAGACAGGGAAAGTGGGAGAGTTTTCCTGAAGACAAAAGTACAACTTTATTATGAATTCTATTCTGGAATTAGGCAGTAACACCTCTTTTCCCTGCTGATACTTGATTTTTTTTCCTACCCATCCCATAAACTTTCCCCTACCCTCTCTGTGGACCAATGTATGTCTGTCCCTCTCTGTTAGTAGATTTGGGAAAGCCAATAAACACTTTCGATTTTTCTGAAAAAAAAAATAACATCATCTACTTAATAAAAACATGAATATGTTCAACTTGACTGGTCCTTTGCAGTTTCAAATAATTCTTTCACATAGATAATCCATTTTATTAAAGAATTCTTTTTGCAGACAGAATCCCCTTTTGTGTTACTGAACAGTGGTATGAGTGGTTCCTTCCAGAGTTAGTGGGGCCCTGTTTGACCTAGTTCAGGCTTCAAGGTTCCTTAATAGATCTAGTTATATTCAGTCACTTTGGTTTGAGTCATGTGATACGATGTAAATAGGGCTTAAAAGCCAGCATCAGAATACACTTTTAATTCCTCTGAGACACTTTTTACTGAGACTAAGAATACTACACATGTATCCAGTCCCCTCCTGGGAATGATCCATATCCGAAGCTATCCTTCATCACCAAGATGCTTTAGAAGTCTGTGTGGTTAGGGGCTATGACCTCATTCTCTGTGGCAGAAAAAAACTGCCATATGAACTATGGTCCTAATTGGTTAATTATAAGAGAACCCTACAGAGAGAAACCTGGCCTTCTGAATCAAAGCATCTCTCCTCTACCCACTCTTGGCCTCTGTTCTCAATTCATATGATATTATGTATAATGATACACAACAGCATTTTCTTCTGTATATTTCCTTCATCGAACCGGTCAGCCTGGCAAATAATTCCAGAATCGATCCTCATCAATGATGTCAGTATACCCTCCCTTTATTGACATAGTTGGTTTTGTTGGGAATTATCCTTATGATTGGGCAACTGGCATTCCTCACTCTCCTCTGTGATGGGTTTTCTATAGTTGACAATTTCCCCATTCTGCCTCTGCCTCAAAGCTATTTGTTTTCTCTGCCACTTGATTATTGGTGTTATATGAACATTGTCCTCGGTTAATGTGCCAAGATGAATTTCTGCCAGTGTTTTTTTTTTCCTGATGACTGAACTTTCTTTAAAAGACTTTAGTGTTTGCATTGGAAGGTTTTGATAGTCCTAAGATTGTAATAGGATTTGGCCAGTACCATTCATTCATTTAGGAATTGGCCCTTTATTGCTTAGGTGTTGACAAACACTCTACTCAGTTCCTGTTTCCAAGGGATTAATACAGAAAGCTAGAACATAATAGGATGCTTAATGTCATAAAGAAATAATGTTCGTGGGCTGGGAAGGTGGCTCAGTGGTAGAGCGCTTGCCTTGCATGCCTGAGGCCCTGGGTTCGATTCCTCAGCACCACATAAGCAAAAAAGAAAAAAAGCCGGAAGTGACGCTGTGGCTCAAGTGGTAGAGTGCTAGCCTTGAGCTGAAGAGCTGAGGGACAGTGCCCAGGCCTAGAGTTCAGGCCCCACAACCGGACCCAAAAAAAAAAAAAAAAAAAAAAGAAATAATGTTTGTGGATGGCTGTAGAGATAACTTCTAGTTAATGATATCATGAAAATCACTAAATATTTACCAACTTTCTTGCTCATTAAAGCTAGAATTTTCCCCCTACTATTCTGGTATATGCATGCAAGCAATCACTCACTAGACGTTTGCTGAATTACCGTGTTTACCAGGCCTCATGCCAGGCTCTGAAAATAGAAGTCAAATGACAGATTCTGTGCCCTGATGGAGCTCACAGGCCAATGAAGATAAAGAAAGCAAATGCAAAAGTGAAGGAAGAGGTGACATTGTCCCAAAAGAAATATACTCACTACCTGACTTATCAAGTAGTAACCCCTCTGTACAACACCTTAATAAGAACAATAAAATTATACTGAAAAAAATAAAGTAAATGCTCAGGGTCCCATACTTGTGGTGATACAGAAATCTCACTTGTGGAGAAGAGTGAACTTTGGAGTGAACACCTGAGAGGCTAGACATTGTACCTGACAGAAAATTAGTTTGGCTGAATGTTAGCCTTTTGGGGCCTATTACCTGGCAGGTTTTCCCTACCAGTTTTCCTCTTAGTAGAAAAATACAAACTGAAATTCACATTAAGAGGTATCTATTTGGCTGTGTGAAATGGCATATGCCTGTAGTCCCAGCTTCTCAGGAGGTCGTAGCAGGAAGATCACTTGGGTCCATGAATTGGAGAACAGCTTGGGCAACATAGCAAGACCTTGCCTGGAAAAAAAATTGATCTGCTTGGCAGTCCTTGAGAAATGGCACATGAGCCTTTGCCAGGTATCATCCCAGTAAGGGGAGCGCTGAGTACTGGCAGGTAGAGTGGCTGGAGCGTCACTCCTGAGTGCTTCGTGCTTCCCAGTGGAGTATCATCACATCCCTGGATCCACAGGAGGCTGCTAGACACTTCCATAAATCCTTCTGTGCTTGGCTATAGAATCAAAGGCCTACTAAGTCTTTTTTTTTTGGGGGGGGGGTCAGTTATGGGGCTTGAACTCAGGGCCTGGGTACTGTCCCTGAGCTCTTTTGCTTAAGGCTAGAGCCCTACCGCTTTGAGCCATGGCACAACTTCCAGTTTTTGAGTAGTTTATTGGAGATAAGAGTCTCACAGGGACTTTTCTGCCCAGGCTGGCCTTTGAACTGTGATCCTCAGATATCAGCCTCCTGAGTAGCGACAATTACAGGCATGAGCCGCCAGTGCCTGGCCCTGCTGTCTTTAATGTAACAAAGTACCACAACTTGCAGACTTCTTTTCTTTCTTTCTTTCTTTCTTTTCTTTCTTTCTTTCTTTCTTTCTTTCTTTCTTTCTTTCTTTCTTTCTTTCTTTCTTTCTTTCTTTCTTTCTTTCTTTCTTTCTTTCTTTCTTTTTCTATGCAGACTGATTTCTGTCCTCCCACCAGGTTCCTGGCTTTGTTCCCACAGAAGCCAATGCCAGCTCAACAGATGCTCCCTGGCCGAGAGCTTTCAGGCAGCTTTGTGGTTCTCCTCCTGTGTGATGTGCTGGCTGGGTGTGTGCCACTGGGGGAGGGTACTGGTTTTCAGGTGTCATGGCCTCCCCCACACACACTCCTGGCAGCTTTGAGGGTGTGGAGAGCACTAGAAATGCTTCATTTGCCATGACTGGCCTTATTGTCTGGGCTTCATACCAAAGGCTCGAAACTGACCTTTTTCTGAATGCGTTGCTGTTTGTGAGCCGGTGCTCACTGAAGTGCTCATAGTGGTA